TGTGTGTGTGTGTGTGTGTGTGTGTGTGTGTGTGTGTGTGTGTGGTATGTATATGTATATATGTATGTATATATATGTTACGTTAAAAAAATGTTACAAGATACTTAAATGCGAGAATTGCTCTGCTTACGCAATTATTTATAGGCCGGGCCTACTTAACCGAATTCACTCTACTCTATATTATATATTAGATTCGTAGGAGAAATATTAATTCGAGAATATATTCTTCAAAATTTGCACGCAACATATCGAACATACCTGCACACGACTTAACATATATTTCGAGTTTGTCATTAAATGTTCTTCTTCAAACAAAGCTTTTGCTGTATTGCACGATAAATTTCAAATAAAATAAATGTCAAATTTGTTGATGTATTTGTGTGCGTTTATTGTATTCCATGTGGTCGCCAGGTCGATACAATAATAAATCACTGGCGTTCTCGAATCAATTTTAACATTTCTCTTTCGTCATAAATGGCTTTTCGATTAATTGAAAATTTTTCAGGCCAAGCGGAAAGCGCTCTCGAGAAATTAAAAACTGAATATGTTTGTGGTTGGCTTTCGGAAGTTATGAAAACACATTATGAAGTATTCATTTCTTGTCTTCTACCGCATCCAGCAGACTACGTAAGAGTTGGAGGCCATTGGTAAGATATAAAAATAAAATAATAAAATGATATAATTTAAGGGGATACCAAAATAAATGACGAATTTACTTGACAACGAAAATATACTTAGGTAACATATCAATCAATCAAGTCAATGTCTATAGAATGTCTATTTCGACATTGGACGTTTAATCGTCGAACGTCTATAGTATATTCGTTCAACGCATCTTCGATGTTTATAGAATATTCAAAATAAAGCTATTCTCGAATTTATTCTGAACTTATTGTAAACTACCATAGATTTATTATAGACTTCGTTTAAAGTTTTCATGACTTCACAGATAATAACTTATTATCGTTTTCTCCATGTGGAAACTTAAAATAGGACTTGCTGAGAGCATCCAGTATACATAGAGATATATTTTTTTAGATTTAATAAATTTTGTTGAATTAAAAACAAATTTAATATTGATTTGATGACGATTTAAACTAATTTTGATTAATAGTTTAGAAATTAAGTTATGATAAAAAATAAAAACATTAGGGACTGTGTAGTTCGTCATACTTTATACGTATCGTTTTCTTTATACTTCATGCATGTTCATCCTTGGTTTCGATCCTAACATTGTACATTGTTCGATTCTGTATACGTTTACTGATAACTGCTAATTCGGAATGTACACATATCAAACCGAAAGTCATCGGTTCATTTTATGGATAAAACAGTACATCATAATCTAAATAGTACACGATATTCCATGGATATCCAATGGATGTCCTTAGGATATTGAGATGTCCCCTGGACGTCTTTAGAATGTTTCTGGGAGATTTGTACTATTAGAGAATTTAGCAACAGTGCAATTTTCAACCGATTTAAAAGATTTTTTTTATATACTCGTTAAAGATAGCTCTATAACGTAGTATTGCGGTATTGTTGAAACAAAGCTAAAATTCAAAATAGTAGAAAGAAAATAATTATATATTGAAAGTATTGAATGATACATATTACTTATGATATTAAATATTTACATCAAGAATTTACACCACAATGGATAATTATATGTACAAGTATCACGAATCAAAACAAATGACGTTACTGGCGCCGGCCGCAAGATAGTTTCATAAACATAGTTGGCGACGTAAACAAATATGGCGACACTCGTACACAAACAACGCTATCCAAAATGGCAACACACAAATCAATAAAATGGCATCATCTACGTAAAGACTGGCGTCCCATACAGCACAGAAACTTGCAGCAACATTGCTACAACGTTGTAAGATTGCATATTGCAGTGCAATGTTGCAGAGACATTGCAGTGACATTAATTTGCAATATTACTTTAACAATATTGCAACATTATTTCATAAATATGACGAATATAATATAATATTTTTTTACTTATTTACTAGTTATTTTTGTTACTTATATTTCAAATTCAGTAATATTTGACATCAATAGTGCTTATAGAATAGTACTTAGAATAGTATTTGTTAGTGGCAGTCATTAATACTAGAATTTGTCTTATTACATATTTTTTAAACTTTTTATACCGTTTTTTTTCGGAGAAAATACTTTCTTTAGATTTCATATTTGTAGTTGTTTAATTTTGTGATTGTTTATTTCATTAAAATAATTTATTCTTAAACGAAATATCATTTTTTTAAATAATAAAAATAAAAACTTTTATTTTGTTCAAGGAAATCACTTGACGAAATAACACTATTGTTTTAAACAGTGTTTTATAAAAATTTCTTTTAAAATTTAGTAATTCGATTTGTTTAATTTGAATTTTCTTGGATTTATTTTTTTAGTTTGGATTAATCATTATAACATTCTATTAAAAATCTAAAAGTAATTATATATATATACAGGGTGTCCCGAAGTCCCATGATGACCCTTGGTGAGAACGTAGAACGGATTGAGGTGAGCAAGAAAGTCCTGTGCCGTTTTGCGATATTCGCAATAGTTTTTGAGAAATTAATTATTTTGTCTCAACAAATCAGCGTACAGAAAGCGGCAGCGGAAAGAAAGATGCCTTCGGCCGACGTGCGAC